AGTTATATTTATTGCCGTGTTGATTTTATTTTTATTTTTGATCGGAAATTAATATAAATTTAAACATATTTGTTATACTGTACGTCTCTCAGTCCAGTTTAAAAAGTGGGCTATAACATGTAAATATATATTTTCATAGGTCCATTGTCGAGAAAACATATGATGTTTTTACCATTACAGAACTGAAAATTAATATAAAAACACTTAAGAATTCAGCCCCCGGAATTAGAAATATTTTTCTTAAAAAAGCTTCAAACCTTTTACTACTACATTTAACAAACATTATAAATTTATCACAATTAACTGGTTACTACTATCTGGACACGTGAAAACAAGCTACTATTACCGTATATTAAAAACAAACCAATAGATCAAACCCAGACAATTTTCGCTCCATTAGTTTGTTAAGCTGTCTTGGCAAGCTAATGGAGAAAATAATATCGAACAGATTCATATACTTCTTTGAAACAAACAATTTACTATCAGACATCGAAAACGCATCAAGGCGAAACAGACAAACAATAGACCACCTCACACGATTAACTGAATCAATCTACAAATCATTTAATAATAATCAGGCCACAATAGGTATATTTTCAGATGTTAAGAAAGCATTTGACATTGTCTGGCACAATGCCATAAAGTATAAATTATGAAAGTTAAATGTTAATGAAACTATAAACAGATGGACATCAAACTTTCTAAACGACAGAACAGCTAAAGTTAATGATATGTTATCAAAAACATTCAGTATCACGGCAGAAGTACTGTAAGGATCTGACCATTCGCCTCTCCTATATATCATATTTGTTTCCCAACATAACATATAGATATCACTATCTATATCACTCATAGCAATGACCCGTGTCCAAAAAACCACTGAATTTAATTCTTAAATGGTGTAACAAATGGCGAGTGATACTAAATCCAACAAAATTCCCCTTTTTCAAAAAATTACGACATGAAACACATGAAAAATCTCAAGAAAATCAAACTTAAGCTAGGAGACACACTAAATAAATACAAGTAACAACATCAAATTCCTCTGAATCACCTTTGACACCTGTCTAACATGGAACCAACATATTCGAAACATACATGCCTCGATTAACAAACCTATCAAGCACATAAGACTAATTGCAGGTAAGCACACAAACTACACATCCACAACATCCCTAAAAATATAAAACATTTGTTCGCCCATTTATAGAATATGGCTGTTAAATAACTTACAATATGTCAGAAAACAACTACAAATACTACAAAACAAAGCATTAAGATTAGCCCTAAGGCTTTCAAAGTTTACTCCAGAAAATTACATACATAAAATCAGCAACCTACCCACTTTAAAAAGTAGAATAACTAAACTAGCTTTTAACTATTATAAAAAAGCAAAAAAAAAAATAAGTTTGAGTGCTACACTTCATAAAATTTCT